GGAGGCCTTGTGGTTGGTGGTAGAGTTGGTCGGCGAGTAGTCACTGGAGGCTGAGGCTTGTTCGTGGGTGGCAAGTAGGTTGGAGGTGGAGGAGTACGAATGGGAGGCCTTGTGGTTGGTGGTAGAGTTGGTCGGCGAGTAGTCACTGGAGGCTGAGGCTTGTTCGTGGGTGGCAAGTAGGTTGGAGGTGGAGGAGTACGAATGGGAGGCCTGGTGGTTGGTGGTAGAGTTGGTCGAGGCGTAGTGGTCACTGGTGGCTGTGGCCTATATGTCACAGGTGGCAAAGTGGTGCGCGGCGGCAAAACAAATGGCACATCTGGTACAGGATAGGAGTATCCCTCTACAGCGCGAGCCTTACGCTGAAATTCATCAATTAATCTATGAATGATCTGTACTGTATTTTGGTTAGATTTCTCTGTACTTACCACATGCGTGTCAGCCGATGCGGTGGCAAAAGCCACAGCGCAAAGCGCCAAGACAAAAAGTGCACTTCTCTGTGGGAGAACGAAACAGAAATAAATCGAGTTAGTACGGATGGCTAACGAAGATGTTCAAATGAAGTTGCTTGGCTGTTAGCTTGCCACAATCGCTGACACCTGAGCTAAGTACCTTATCGAATTGTTGTCTAATACTTGGTGCTAAAGTGATTTGCTCTAGGTCTAAATGCAAGGCAACACTGTTAAAGCATAGACAGCAACGTTTAACGGCACAAAAGTCGTTTGTTAAAGTTCAGACGATGTCTGCCATTTACATATAACAACAACAGCAACAACAACAAATAACTGGCAATTACAATAAAGATGTTAGCGTGTAGAGTGTTGAGTCGAAGGCATTCAACTTTGACATCATCTCTAGGTCACGGTAGCGATCCGAAACCTAGCCAAACTCGATTGTGCTCTTAAATCTCTGATCCACAAACCAATTAAAACCACGAATATCACAATGAAAAGCAAAACGACAAAATACAGGTGAAATAATTAATTGACTTTGGAGACAAGATGTCTGACCACAAAACAAACAAAAATGAATAAATTAATAAAATAAAATCAGCATAGATTAAACCTTCTTCCGTGGCTGTCAACGAATCTAATGTCTTATAATTTGCATATTATGCGATCTGGGCAAGGTCGTCAACGGAGAACGTTAACGAAAGTGGTAAATGGCTATGACTGCAATTAATTTGCGGACATCTCAAAATCACTGACAATTTCTTGATAACTAATGTCCGTGCGGTTACCATCTACAGAAATAGCTAATTATGCTATAAACCAGCTACGGCAGTCAGCCAACAAAAATTCTGGCTGACTAGTTTTTTTTTTTTTTTTTT